TGCCCCGCGCAGGAGAAGACATCGCGTCGGGGCAGCAGCGGGCCGGTGAAATGAGGACTTTCTACCAGAAGGATCAGCACGGTGGCTGCATCTCGCAACGGTGAGGCCGGCACAGGACCGGGCCGTGAGGCCTTTGGCTGTCTACGGAATTGCTACGAGTCGGAACCGACTGGATCGATGGCCCCCAACAACGACGACATGCTGGCCTGGCCCCTGGTCACTGCAATGGCACTGACCTCTGAGTCCACAGGGGTCCTTCTCTGGAGCCTGGCTCATCAGTGCCGTCCTTTTAAAATATAAAGCTGTCTTTGAGTTGATGCCAACTCACTGGCCCTACAGGTCAGGGTAGAACTGACCTTGTGGGTTCCTTGAGATGGGAAATCTTTATGGGAGTAGAAAGCCTCATCTTTCTCCCTAGGAGCAGCTGGTGGTTTTGAACTACTGACCTTGTGGTTAGCAGCCCAATGCCTTAACACCTGGTTTCTCTCCCCAGGGAGCCCATCTCAGGGAGGTTTCCATGTTGGTTCCCCCAATCCGAGCTTATCTGCACCCCTTCTCCCCCGATCTAAACGGCTCAGCCTTGAGAAGGCCCCCCTCTGCTCTCTGCGAGTCATACACGGATTTACTGTTGCTGCTGTCACTTGCTGCCAAGTCAGCTTCAGCTCAGCGTTGCCTCCTGGACAAAGGAAGTCTTGTGTCACAGCTGGGTGCACCACTGTGGCCCCATCAGTTCTCACGTGCACTGCTCCTGTGCACTCTCCCCGGGATGGATTCGGATTCCCAGGCTCCAAACAAATTCTGCAGTGACAGCGCCGAAGCCCAGGCTGCAGAGCTTGGCTGCTGCCATGAGGCGCCTGCTCAGCTCTCGGGCTCTTTCTCAGGGGCCACCGTGCTGCGGTCCCGACTCAGCCTTGGGCACTCAGGGTTCATTTGGCCCTGGGTGGGACAACGGGCTCCTTGGGCAGGCCCTCTGTCACCTCCCACTGCTCCGGCTTTGCAGAGGGGACACTGTAAGATGCACCCTTATGGAAGGAAACTGGGTCGCCAAGATTGCGAGGAAAAAGCTTCATTTTTATAAAGTAGCGACGGTGTGTTGTCACATGCGCATCGTGGGGCCCCGTGTAGGACATGTGGGCGGGTTCAGAGGTGACGGGGCTGAAAGGACAGAACTGGCGTGCAGGGAAAGAGAAAGTCGGGGTGCTGGTTTCCTAACTCTGTAAGCACGCTTCCCAAAGAAGATTCATTTCATGTGTGC